TATAGAAAGTACACCTGGACTATAGAAAGAACAACTGGATTATAGAAAGTACATCTGGGCCGTCATTCTGTGTCTGTTTCTACTTCCTGTCCTCTCAAACCCAGCCAGTTAAAGCAGATGTCTGCTCGTCCTGAGCTGGTTCTGCTGGAGGTTTCTTCCTGTTAAAGGGAGTTTTTTCTTTCCACTGTCTCCTTTGTGCTCGCTCAGGATGGAAGACTGTGATGAAGTGATGATTCAGCACAATCTGCTGCTTCCTTAGAGAGATAACTTTTACTGAGTGAATGTTGCTGTTCAGTGCGTGTTGTGACTTGGAGCAACAGAAATAAACTGAATTTGATTTAATCTGATTAGGTGAGAAATCCTCAAATATACTTCAGAATAATAAAGTTAAATGAGGAGTTTGGTGCATAAGTTTGTGTATAAGTGTTCAGCTCCTTTCCTTTAGAGCCTCTATAGCATCACCTTCACCAGAAAAGAAGACAGAACTTTTTGTTGAATAACTTACATTTCCAACCCCCCAGAAACTTCCTCTAACGAACCTGCCAATTAGGAGGAACTCTCCGGCGACCCCGAGCCGCCTCATGGCCATGAGCAGGCCTCGAACTGTCATGCCCTCACAGAAGCAGACGACGACCCTGGCTTTAGGAAGACGCTCGCGCAGCTTCCGCAGCAGCCTGTCGAAGTGCTTCTCGCCGGCGTTGCTGTAGATCTTGTCAGAATGAGCGATGCAGAGACCATCTTGTGAGGCGAGCTCCTTGAACACCTCCATCCCGCTCTCACCGTAGTTACCTGAGGAAGACGAGGAGCTGTCAGGTGAGCATCGACAAGAGGAAGAACGTCGACGGGCTCTTATTCATAACTTCCCTCTGCTGGTAATTTGTTTCTTCTGTGTTCAGGACTCATTTTGTCTCCAGACTCATGGACTCAAGAAGGACACAGCATCAGCATGACAGCACAAAATACACTAGTTTATAACTTATTGAAATGACAGATGATCTATTTAAAAAAACGTCTTCATCCTAACCCAAGATCATCCGGCACTGGGAACTGTGGGCGATCATGTAATGGCTCCTGTGTTCATTTGTCTCTTTCTGTTAAATTGTGTCATGAATCAGAGAAACCAGTTTTATTAAAACTGGAAAATAAATCCTAGAATCTACAACTGATAAATCCAGCTGTTGACTCAATTCAAGATGGCCACCACAGCTAACTGACCTCAGTCAGCACCAGCATGTCTACAAGCCAGCGGGGTTAGAGCTAAAATGATTGTTTGTGCAGACTTTGTTCATATATCAGAACGTTGAGGTCATGAAGACTTGACAGTAATTTTTTTACGCCCTGACACAACCACAGACCACTGAGCTGCCACAGCCTCTGATGCAGCAGAGAGCTGCCGTCTATAAAAAGGGCAATGTGCAACTCAAACATAAGTCAGCATTTGATGCGCTGTAGGGGGGCGGATGGTGGGGGTTGGGGTCCATGCTCGGGGGCCCAGGGTGGGGCAGGTGAGGAGGCTTCACCTTTCCCACCCACATTTGTTGCTGATGCGGGGGCTTGAGCCGACGACCTTCTGATCGCAGGCCCAGCCTCTGCGCCACCGCACCCCACAGATGAGAGCAACTGTTATTTATTTTAATATTGTAACCTTTATACTTTTTGAAACATTTAAATGTATTTATTAATACGTTTCTCATTTTAAAAAAAAAATTTAAATCGCCTAAATTCCTTCCAAACTTGGTTCTTTTAAAAAATCTGCTTCAGCAAACTTCAGCTTTTTTTTGGTCTTCTTATGCTACTTTTAGCTTTTGCTCTTCGCTAGTCTTTAGCTTGTAGCTAGCCTTTTGCTTTTTTTAAAAAAAATTTATTTTCATGTTTGAACCGGGAGTGGTGGCGCAGAGGTTAGAGAAGGTGATCTTACCATAAGGTCAGAGGTCCAACTCCCCGGACTGACAACATCAAAATGTGGGTGGAAAAGATGAAACACCTGCCTCCACCCTCATCTGCCACTCTGGGACCTTGAGCAAGGCACTCAATTGCTCTCCCGGGCGCCCTAGACGGCAGCTCTCTTCTCCACACAGAGAGCTGTGGCAGCTCGGTAGATTGTGGCTAGTCTTTGATACTTTTAGCATATTTTTTTAGTTTTGAAAATTTGTTTTTCAACTAAACTTTTGCTGCTTTTAACTAGGATTTAGCTACTTTTAGCTAGCATTTAGCTTCTTTAAGTTTCTTGTTTTTACCTAGCTGATTTCTAAATTTAGCTTTTAGCTAGCTTTTTGTTATTAGTTTTAGCTAGTCTATTGTTAATTTTATCTAGCATTTTGCTACATTTAGCTAGTGTTAGCTTGAGCAGCTCAGTTTCAGCACATTTCAGCTGTGATTCAGTGCTCAGCTTTAAGTTTATCTTGTCTTGTTTACTGTTCTGTGCTTTGAGCTTTCCTCTCCGATACATTTGAAATGAAAAGAATTAAAGGAATTTTTTGTGCCTCTTTCGTTAAAGAAAAACAACCGTTTTGTTCAAAAAGTAACGTCTAACACGACGACAGCTCAGGATTTGCTGCTATAAAAGATATTCTGTTATAAAAGAGGCTTCTTTGTGAATGCTGGTAGAACAAGAGCTAACGTGCGTTAATAAAGATCAGCAGCAAACAAGAGAAAACAGCACGAGTGATGGAGATCAGCTCAGATTTTTCTCTGAACTGGTTCAAATCTCCTGAAATGAGGTCTCCACCCTGTGCTGCTCTACTTTCATCATATTTTAGCTCTAGAAGCTCAAACAGCTGCATGAAGTTGAACTGTTTACCCTCCGTGTGAACTGCAGACACGTAGGTCCAGTTGTATCGTTTGACTATGTCCAGCAGAGCTCGGGCTTGAAGGGTGTCGGAGGGGACGACCCTAAGGAAGTACTTGAACAGCGTCTTGTCGCTGAGGTCGATGCTGGTCGCAGAGTAGGCGATCTGTGGGATGTTGAAGAGCTGCAGCAGGTTTTGGACTTGAATGGCGACAGAGCTGGAGCCCGGGCCGATGACCCCCACAATGGGCTTCTTGGTTGGCGGCGGCTGACTGGAGGGCCCCCCTTCGATGCACCACTTGGAGCCCTCAGAGTCGTCCCGGATGGAGATGAGGGAGTCTCGTATGAACTCGATGCTCTGCTCCAGAGCTACAGAGGAGTGCCAGCAGGAGTCCCTGATCTCACAGCCCAGGGTGATGTTCGGTAACAGGTTGGGGTCCGAGTTGATCCGGTCCAGGGTGTGGAACATGGCCTCCACCCGCTGGATGCCGTACTGCTCACGCACCTCTCCACATTTCCTCTCTGCCACCTTCTCAGCCGACGGTTGGTGGTGCACAGAAAACAAGGCGCCGATTATGACGTCCCCGTCCATCCTGGCCACCAGGCGGGACACGGAGCTCGGGACAACGGCGCGCTCGTACTTTCCTTTGGACGAGACGAAGGCCTCGAACAGTAAAAGGGGCAAATACAAAACGCTTATGGCCGTCAGGAACATCATGTTGGACATGGTGCCGCAGGTGCAGAACACAGAATCATGTCCACATGTCCATCATAAAGACCCGTCAGTTTTCTGTGGACAGCACGGGACGGAGCTGATGCTTCTGTGTTTCCATGCTGCAAGGGAGACATTAAACGCTCGTCAGGGTACAGAGACATTAAACGCTCGTCAGGGTACAGAGACATTAAACGCTCATCAGGGTACAGAAACATTAAACGCTCGTCAGGGTAAAGAGACATTAAACGCTCGTCAGGGTACAGAGACATTAAACGCTC